CGCTTCTGTTTGATTTGTGCGGTTGTGTTATAACCAAACAGAAATTTGAAGCAAGTCTCATTCACTAAGTCGTATAATTGATATGAGACTTATGATACACACGTGTCTTGTTTTAATCTATGTTGTATTATTGGCTTAAACACCTAGTCCAACGGTAGATTAGTACTTAGCGTCTACACTATCTTAAGGAGATTAGTCTGATGATAAAAATTAGAATTTTTGTCGTTCCTCATAATCAAAAATAACATAAATTGTTTTGTCCAACCATATGTCCATAAATTACAAGTTTTTAATACGATGACTTGCGTCAATCCCAAGAGTAGTTTAGCAATTGTTGCTTCTCGTAGAAACTAGTAGAAAGCAAAGACCAAATTGCCATAATAACGATATGATTCATAGTCTGTAACATTCTATTTTGACGATACTCGTTCTAAGGAATAAATTAATTTAATTGCATAGCGATGTTTAAAGAATATATTTGTAAAGAGAAAGAATAAAAATAATAGATGAAAAATTATTACGAAAACTAATCTTATTGGTGGTGGAGCATACATCCCCCACAACATCATGAAAGACAACATCTCCATGACAACGTAGCTTTCAAAATTTCATACATCGAATTCAAATATATATAATTTCTTTTGCAGATAATTAAACAATAAAGTTGGTGACTCTTAGAGAGAAATAATTAAGAAGCTTTTAGTTTCAGATTTTATGCTAATGTTAATTACGAGAAAATTTACTGGAGATATTACATAAGTGTATTGTTTTCAGTTTTCACTCCTTTACGTATTATCTCTTCAAATTATTTTTGTAGCAAGTTTATTCAGTTTTATAGAATTTTTATGGTATAAGCAAGTAAATTAAAACTCCAATAGTATGGGGCCAAAACTTGAGCTCTCATGCTCAAAACATTAGCAAAAATGGAAATTCCCAAATGGCATAGCCACTTGGCAAGAAATTATTGCAAAAATTGTCGATTGATCATGCATTCACCTTCAATTAATTATGAAATTATGACAAAGGACAAAAATTAGAGCAGTATAATCCAAAACACTCGGTTATTGCACTCCTAATATATACTATTATATAGTAATATACAAATCTTTATTCTAATTATTTTTCTTATGTCACCATTTACAGCAGTATGATTTACAGATCTAGAATTCATATAGAATCGGTCACTTCTCCATATAATTAAAAATTATGAATTAGAAAACCTTTTTCATTTCTTTAAATAAAGATTTTGTTAAAAATATATAAGACTCAGCTTTTTACCAAATATTTTTCTGTATGTAATATATTAATCGAAAATTCGAAACACATGGCAAACATACAGGTAGAGCTAGTACATACGGAGTATATAATTAGATGATATAATATTACTATATCACTAAGATCTATAATTGGTGGTTCCTTGTTATTTTCGAATATTTTTTATTTTATCATTGTGTCGTTTTCATTTTAGGGTCAAAATCATGTCCTCTTCCACTCGATGATGGATCTGGGAAATTTCTTTTATGAATATTATTTTGGTACTAATCTATATTTTTCGCTTTGTTTTTACCACATCTCTAACATAAAAAAAGGCTTAATTTTGGAACTGGTAAATAGAGCACATAAATAAATCTGTCCAAAATTTAACTCACTTAAGTTAATTATGATAAGTTATGAATTCGTCATTTACCTAATTATTCGTTTGCTTGGTTGTTGAACTTATAGCCACTATTGAAAAAACAATACAATTCTACAAAATCAAGACTTATATACGTGAACATTTTTGTTTTTGGCTAGAATATGTAATAACATAAATGTGCACGAAAACCATTTAGAAAAAAATTCTGAATGGTAATTAAATAAAATAATTTTGCCTAACATAAATTTGTACGAAAACCATTGAGAAAAAAATTCTGGATGGTAATTGAATAAAATAATTTTGCCTAACTTGTCCTGTAAAATGATGAGAATAAATAACTTTGCCTAACTTGTCCTATGAAATGAATCATTTCAAATAATAAGAAAATCCATTGCTTAATCATAATTTATATATCCAATGTACCAATTCACTCATGCGTTACGTTTCACATTCTCCACCTATTTTGATTGTAGATAGAACACCTCTAAACCACACACCACACATACACACAAAGACTCGACACATAATCAAAATTTTATAAAACGGAAAAAAAATGGAGAGCTTTATTATTATATTGCAAGTTATCATATGTCTTACGTAATTCGACATATAATTTCATGGGAAAATAAGTTTATCACGTCTCTTTGAAAGTTCAATGGTCGTATCGTTTATTTTTGTCCCAATAAGCTATCTAAGTGAATTAAATCTACTTAAGACAACTCCTACTTAGTTCGACCCAATTTCTCCAATTACTTTATTTTCCCAATCATCTGCATATGTATTTTAATCATAAATTCACGAAACTATAGCTAGTTAAGAGAAAAATATTTAAAGCAACATTCTCTTTCCCCGAAAACTCCTAAGTACATTTTCTCACAATTTATGCATGCGTATAAAATATAAATATATACTAACAATTAGAATTTCCATTGTCGCCTAATATAACTCTTTATCTTAATATATATTTACTAATTCAAAGTTTTATGATCTAGAATGTGTAAAATTTGATAGCATGACCTACCTTTTTATGTCAACTTTTGAAATCATATTAGATGTCTAAACCACTGAACCAGTTTGCTGTATCTTTACATTTTGAAAACCACTGTAAATAGTAAACGTTATATAGAAATTAATCTCCTTAAATAGTTGAATTAGATGTCTACAAACTCACAAAACTTTGGCATATGTTTAAAAATCAAAATAGTCTGACCTGCTCAGTATTAAAATATTAACTGCAGAAGATAGTTTGATACAACATAATCATATACTATTCCATTACCTCCAATAGTCCAAAATATATAGCAATAATTTTCTAAGATACGTATCAAAAATGGTTTAAAATGATATCATTGTTACATGCATATGCGTAAATTTCTCCATGTTATTGTATTCTTTTAATTTGGAGCCGACTGATAAATATATTGGTGAGTTCTAGTGTGTGACGAATATGCCATTGTTGACTAGCAAAGTCTAAATCTCAGGAGAATAAAATAATTCAATAATTGAAGTTTTTTTATTTTTATTTTTAACACCTAAATCAAATACATCAATTTGTTTTTCTTTTTGTTTATTTGCTCACCAGTCACCACCATCTTACGGGGTCCATTGTGACCCATGTCTCTGCTGACTTGGCCGAATAAGAGCCGTCCATCTGTCAGTCGACAACTGCCAAACAATCTTGACGGTTTGTTAGTTTGGTTCGAGAGCCACCAGTGATCACTGATCAGTTTGCGACTTAGAGTAAATGACTTATTTAGCCTTAGTTCAATAATACGGATTAGTGTGTAATTTATTGTTGGTTAGGGATGGTTTAATTACATTTCAGGTGGAAAAAATTGATGAGAGAATCTAGCAAGAAAAAGATGGACACGTATGGACCGTTGAAAGTAGGAAGACAAATTATTTAAGGAATACAATATTTAATTTCAACACCAAGTGTCCAATAGATATACAACAATAATGATGAACACCAAGATTTATTTATATTCTCTATTTGGAATATTGATTACTCCAACTTTTTTTCATGATTTGTATTTCAGAACTTGAGAGTGGAATAGACAAATTGTGATATTGACCATAAGATATTTTTTAGGAAGATATCGTTGTGTATATAAAGTATAAAGTTGAGTGTAATGTTTAAAAAAAGAAAAAGAAAAGAGTTGATAGTGTGATTATAGCAAAAGACTAAAATAATAAACTATAAAGTATAAAGTTGAGTGTAATGCTTTTTAGATTTTAGTATGCCATCTTTTAGTTATATATATATATATAGAGAGAATACAAGTATTTATGAAATTAATAATGTGTTATAAATTAATAACCAACACATACACAATAAGGTTTATATAAGTTTATGAAATCAAGGTTGTTATCATAATTTTTGGAGCATTGTACATAAATTATATATTTTTGCCAAATCCAATGATTACAAAGGAAAATAATAAAGAATTTTTTTAAATAATTGAGGATCAACTAATTATTGTTATTTAGCAGCATAATCATAAAATATTTGATTCATAGTTGCATACCTACCATAATTTAAATTTGATTTATGAATTTATGATAAATACTTATAGTATAAACTAATAAACTTATAATTGAACCACTCTAGTATTCTTATAGTTTTTTTTTTTTTTTTTGCTTTCAAAAAATAAACTTATAATTAAACCACTCTATGCTATAGTAAAGGTCTCCGAAGGTGTTGTAGTGGAGACTGGAGAGGTCTTTTGCAAACACTTTTACTAACTATTTGATGATTTGCTACTTAAAATATATATATATATATATATGTATATATATATATATGTGTTTCCAACAATATTTATTGAAAGTATATATTTCATTTACTCACTAAAAATCTTAATTTGAAATGGACCATATATTTTAAGTTATTTTTTGAAGATCTTACAATAAATTTCAAGTAAAACTGAAATGATTATCAACTTTTATATACATAACTCTTAAACACAACCTTTTACAGAACATCGACAAGTATTTTAGGTAATTAAATACTCAACTTTTAGACAATTTAAACAACCATATGATAATTATCTGTCAAACCATTGCAAGACCATCTTATTATATTTATTTTTACTATTTATTGAGAAAGAAAACACTATTATAGGAGTATTATTAAGTTGACAGAAAAAAAACAAAAGAAGAAATACAATTAAATATTTTTTCCCCAAATTTCTCAACGAAATTAATTACAAAATAATGTGTATAACAACTTAACAAGTAAAAAAGATTCTACTTCTCAGTGACATCAGAACTAATTTATTCAAGGGTAGTTTCGGAAAAAAGAAAAAAGCACTAAATCACTTTTTCGGGTTTCTCTATAAAACCAAAGAAGACACTCACCAAACAATTCGTCCCTGAAACCTCTCTTACGAAACTCAGGCACCATTTTCTTCTTCCGCCGCCGCCATGGAATCACTTCCTCCGCCGCAAAACCAATCATCTCCGGCAACAACTCCGGCAAAAACTCTCCTCGGAAAATACGAACTCGGTCGACGACTCGGTAGCGGAAGCTTCGCGAAAGTCCATTTAGCTCGATCAATCGAATCCGATGAGCTCGTCGCCATTAAAATCATCGAGAAGAAGAAAACAATCGAATCCGGTATGGAACCAAGAATAATCAGAGAGATCGATGCGATGCGTCGTCTTCGTCATCATCCAAACATACTCAAGATCCATGAAGTTATGGCAACCAAATCTAAGATCTATCTCGTAATGGAACTCGCTTCCGGTGGTGAACTTTTCTCTAAAGTCCTCCGTCGTGGTCGTCTTCCTGAATCAACGGCGCGTCGTTACTTTCAACAACTAGCCTCCGCTCTTAGATTCTCTCACCAAGACGGTGTCGCTCACCGTGATGTGAAACCACAGAATCTACTCTTAGATCAGCAAGGTAACCTCAAGGTCTCTGACTTTGGTTTATCTGCTTTACCGGAACATCTCCAAAACGGATTGCTTCACACGGCGTGTGGTACTCCGGCTTATACAGCTCCGGAGGTTATCTCGCGGAGGGGATACGACGGAGCGAAAGCTGATGCGTGGTCTTGTGGTGTGATTTTGTTTGTTCTTTTGGTTGGCGACGTTCCATTTGATGATTCGAATATCGCAGCGATGTATCGGAAGATTCATCGGAGAGATTATCGGTTTCCGAGCTGGATTTCGAAACAAGCGAAATCGATAATCTATCAGATGTTAGATCCGAATCCAGTAACGAGGATGAGTATTGAAACAGTTATGAAAACGAGTTGGTTCAAGAAATCTCTAGAGACTTCTGAGTTTCATCGTAACATTTTTGATTCGGAAACAGAGATGAAATCGAGTGTTAATTCGATTACTGCTTTCGATTTGATCTCGTTGTCGTCGGGGTTAGATCTTTCTGGATTGTTTGAGGTTAAGAAGAAGAAGGAGAGGAGATTCACCGCGAAGGTTTCGGCTGTTGAAGTGGAGGAGAAAGCGAAGATGATTGGGGAGAAGTTAGGTTATGTAGTGAAGAAGAAGATGAAGAAGGAAGGAGAAGCGAAGGTTGTTGGATTAGGGAGAGGAAGAACTGTGATTGTGGTGGAAGCGGTTGAGTTAACGGTGGATGTTGTGGTGGTTGAAGTGAAAGTTGTTGAAGGTGAAGAAGATGATTCACGGTGGTTTGATTTGATTACAGAGCTTGAAGATATAGTTCTTTCATGGCACAATGACATCATGTAAATAGATTGTGACTTGTGGATGTTAGTCTCTTTTTTGTTTTTGTTCAGTTTTGTATAATCTTGAAGAAATCAAATCTCCCGCTTCATAGTCTTTTCAACAGTTTTTATATACACACATTTGACACAGCTAAAAATCTAACCAAAGCTTAAGAAACCTTAAAGCTCGTCGTCGTCGCAATCCTCAACTATCTCTGTATACAGTTCCTCTGCCATATTGAGCTGGTCCAGTACAGTAGCATCTGGCTTTGTGAGGCATTATATATATGTACACTTACCCAATGTGATGCCGTAACTAATAATGCTCTCAACTAAAACCATACGCCTTTTTACAGCTTCGACCGATTCCGTAAGCTCAATAACTGTTCTCTTATTCATTTCTTGGCAGCAGATAAATACTCTCTCGCTCACCATAGGCATCAATGTTGGCTATGTGTTTCAATCCATAGTAATCTTGTTGAGATTTGAGTTCTTGATTAAATCCTGCAACAAAGAAAAGAATTAGTCGAAGAAGAAGAAGCAAAGCGAAGGAGGAGCAAGACGAAGAAGTCGTCAAGAGAAGAAGTTGGTGTCGTGAAAAGAATGGTCAACGACACAACAACAAGAATGACACAAGTCAACAAGAGAAGGTGTTGGGCTTGGTGGTTTTGTGTTTGGGTGATGGGCCTACAAGTGAAAAAGGCCCAAACTAGTGAAGTGTGTTTTGTCTAAATGGTTGTTTAGCTAAGGAAGTGGTTGTATACCGTAGTTAGATTAGAAGTGTTAGTGATGAAAAAAAAAAAAAAAAAAAAGATTAGAAGTGTTAGTAGGAGCGGTTAGAGTCTAAGAGAGTTGTTAAGTGTTAGTAGAAGTGTTGAGTATGACTTCTATCTAGAAGTAAGGTCAATAGTTAACCTAGTATTTAGGAGTATGGCTTGTGTAAGCGTCATGATTAAGGTTCATGATTAGCAAAAAAAAAAAAAGTCATGATTAAGGTTCATGTGTCTAGAGTAGCAAGTGGAGATAAACCACTATATGTATGTGTGATGTGTATTGTGTAAGAATATCTTTAGATCCAATAATGAAAATGTAGACATTTAAAAGAGTTCTCTTTTTTTTTTTTTTTTGATAAACCATGGTCCAATCTACAACTCTTTTGCTTATTTAGGGTTTCGAAGAATAAAGATCATTGACATATCCGATAACAACTTCGTTGGATCATTGCTACAAGACTATTTTGCCAATTAGACAACTGATATGTCAAATGTCAAATATATATATTACAGAGCCCTAGAGGGTCCATATAGTGCTCCCCAAGATTCGATGGATTTGGTGTATAAAGGAGTAGACATGAATTTTGATATGATCTTTAACGGCTTAAAGATTATTGATTTCTCTGGGAACCGATTCTCGGGAGATATCCCTGGATCCATTGGTGACACTACAAGAAAACAATCGATTTGCTAGGGACGAATATGTAGCTAATCCCTCGCAAATCGACTTTAGCGAGCGATTTGCGAGGAACACCAGTTCCTCGCAAATCGTGTCTCGCAAATCGGTAAACGTAGCAATTCCCTCGCAATATTTGCTAGGAAATATATGCCCTCGCAAAACACGCGCAAATTGCGAGGGACGTATGCCCTCGCAAAACAAGCGCAAATTGCGATGGATTTGCGAGGGACAATTAAAAAAAAAATAAAAAAAATCCGTAAAAAATTTTGCGATGGATTTGCGAGGGACAATTAAAAAAAAATAAAAAAAAGAAAATAATAAAATGCATTTAAAATTTATCAATATATATCTATATATTGATAAATTTTAAATGCATAATATTATTTTCTATAATGAATAATAATATTCAAAATACAATAAGAAAGTTTTAAGTCAAATTTAAGAAAATCCTTAAAAGGTTTCTAAAATTAATAATCTTTAAAAATAATAACAATTTAAATTTGAAAATTAGTTATTAATATATAATCTAAAATTCCATACTAAAAAAATTCTAAAAATTAACAATTCAATTTCTAAATGAAGCCTAAAATAATTTAAAATTCCAATCCTAATATAAAACTAAATTTCTAAATCCAAAACTAACAAATCCAATACCTTTCACAATAATCTAAATCTAGAAATCCTAATTTTCTAATTTTAAAACTAGCAAACTCTTAAATCTAAAACTATAATAATACAAATCTATACATAAATCTAACAATGAAATTAAAAAACATACCTTTGAAGAGATGTGAATGATAGGAATGAAGACTTTTTAAGTAAGAGGAAATGAGATGTGAATGAGTGAATGAGTGAAGAGATGTGAATATGCAATCACTTATATATATATTTATACCGTCGCAATTCCCTAGCAAATCCCTCGCAAAAGTTTTGAAAATTTTCGCTAAAAGTTTTGAAAATTTTCGCTAAAAGTTTTGAAATTTCCGCCAAAACGTTGGAGCGCGAAAAACTGAAAACAATTTGCGAGGGAGTTGCGAGGGATACCTAGCAAATCCCTCGCAAATTTTTTGAAATATTTGCCAAAAATTTTAAAATTTCCGCCAAAAAATTGAACCGCGAAAAAACTGAAATATTTGCGAGAGAATTGCGAGGCATCATAGCAAATCCCTCGCAAATGGTTTAGGGTATATGGTTTAGGGATTCATAAGTGGTATCCACTTTTGCGAGGGAATTGCTAGGTCCCTCGCAATTCCCTCGCAAAACTCTTGATTTAGGGTTTAGTTTTGCGAGGGAATTACTAGTATCCCTCGCAAAACCCTCGCAAAACCCTCGCAAAATAGAATCAATTTGAAAAAAACAACAAAACACTACTAAAAATCATTCGGATTCATTTTTTTGAATCATTAGGAAGTTAATTATCTACATTAGAATCTACTTTCTTATCATATACTTCGAATTCGTCCGAATGTGCATTTTCCTCAAATACATCAATGATGATCTTATGTTTTTATATAATATGAATCAATGTTTATAACATTTTCAAAATAAAACCTATACAACATTTTTTTATGCATCACCATATATTCAACTTGTCTGATTATATGGTCTCTTAGATTCATATTTATAAATAAAAATCAAAGATCGCAAAACACTTTTATGTATTTTAGGGTTTAGGGTAAAGATTTGCGAGGTATTTGCGGGAGATTTGCGACAGAGTATATTGTTCCTCGCAAAGTACTCGTACGTCCCTCGCAATTTTGCGAGGAAACTTTCCCTCGCAAAATTTGCGACGGAAGTGCGACGCGCGTCCTTTTCGTAGCAAAGTACTCGTAATTCCCTCGCAATTTTGCGAGGAAACTTTCCCTCGCAAAATTTGCGACGGAAGTGCGACGCGCGTCCTTTTCGTAGCAAATTACTTGCAATTCCCTCGCAAATTTGCGAGGGATGGTTTCCCTCGCAAAGTTGCCTCGCAAAACGACTGTTTTCTTGTAGTGTGAATTGAGCGATTTTCGTCATCTCAACTTGTGAGGCAATGTATTCATAGGCAATATCCCACCATCTTTGGCGAATATTACAAATCTCGAGTCATTAGACCTATCACGAGATAATTTGTCTGGTAAAATTTTTCAAGTTCTCGGGAAACTCTCATTTCTGTCCTACATCAACTTCTCCTACAATTATCTTGAAGGATTGGTGCCACGGACCACACAGTTTCAAAGACAAAATTGCTCTTCATTTGTGGGTAATCCTAGGCTATACGGCCTCGAGGACATTTGTGGAGAAAGTCATCATGTTTCCGTTCCTACATCGCAGCAACCCGAGGAATCTTTGTCAGAACCGGAAGAGCCAGTGCTGAATTGGATAGCAGCCGCGATAGCATTTGGGCCTTGTGTGTTTTGTGGATTAGTGATCGGACGTATCTTCACTTCATACAAACACAAGTGGTTTACCATATCTCGTTAAGCCCATCTATCTCGCGGGTTCGTCAAGTTTGTACTCCGGTAACCTAGTTCGCTATAGGTGTTCCTTCCTTGTAATTTTCTTTTTATTGGTTTTCTTGTAAACGTTGTCAATGTTATAAGCTTTGATGTTTTCACCGTTTTTTGTAATATGGTCAATGTTGGTTGCCTATGTTAGATTAAATTAAGCTTTAACAAAGTGTCTTGAATCACGTTTAAAAGCCATATATCAATCTCTAGTTTGAGTCTACAGAATCTTTATCTTTGTGGAGAAATCTTGTCGGCCACAAAGTTATTTTTCTTTGTAGACTTGCTTAGAAAGAAAGATAAACTTTGAAGAGTGGCTTTGCACTGTCTTCATCTCATGACTTATTTAAATGATAAACCCATTTCTCAGGGCATTTATTTGGACACACAAGTTCGTGTTTTATTGAAAGTCGCACCTCGTATGCTCGACCTATAGAGAAAGAGACAGTACCAATAAAAATATTTTGAATGAAAATTATTTCTAAATATAACCTTCTTCATATATATATTTTGAATGAAAATAACTTTCCTCATTTATCACCTAAAACTATTAAAATTAGCTTTTGTGCTAAGAAAAAAATTTCACTAAAAGAAAAGGGACGTAAGATAAGGTCAACCAAAAACAAATTATTCCACAATTTTCCTACTTTAATGCATAGAAAGACTTGCCAAGTCAAAGTCAAGCTCCATACATATAAGTGAGTTTTATGCCTATCACTTACCATTCAACAAACAAAATATCTTTGTTTCTCAAAAAAATAAATTGAGAGACGATGATTCGAAACCAATCGTATTGTTTTCTTGGTATTTTTCTTACAATCTATTTCTTTTTTTGCCTTCTTCTGTTACCAAACACCTTTGTTTCTCCCACACGGTCCCTATGCCGCCGCGACCAAAGAGATGCTCTTTTGGAGCTACAAAAGGAGTTCCCGGTCCATTCCAACGACAGCTATCCTGTAACAACTGTTTCATGGAACAAGAGCGTTGACTGCTGTTCTTGGGATGGTGTCACATGTGATGCTAACTTGGGAAATGTGATATCACTACAACTCATTTCCTTTAGTACTGCCACCAACACCTCTTTGAAATCCAGCAGTAGAAGTCTCTTAAAACTCCAACATCTTCGTGAGCTAGGGCTTTCAAAATGCAATCTCCATGGGGAGATTCCTTCTT